GAGGTTAGGGTCCTTCCTCAGAGGTTAGGGTCCTTCTTCAGAGGTTAGGGCTCTGGGGGGTTAGGGGTCCTTCCTCCGGTGTTCGGTCACTCCTGAGGGAAGAGGGCGAGTCAGGGGAAGCTTGATGAAGTGGGTGACTTTTGAACTGGAGCCTTGAGGGTCCGTGGAGTCTGCCAGCTGGAGAGGGTGTGGAGATCTCGGGGCGTGGTGTCTGTGCCCCTCCTAGTACTGACAGTGTTGTAGGCGCTGTCTGCCAGTTTCTCTTGGCGCTGGGGAATTCACACAGAGATCCTGTACATTGTCAGACAGTCAGCTTACATATCTTAGGAGATTATAAGCAGTGGGTTTTAATTTTACCAATTATTTTGTATGCTTTGAAAGTCAAAGATATGCATACCAAAATTGTAGGATTGTTTCTTTTTCTTTAATATTTCTTCTGATTTATGCTTGAGTTATCTGACTACTTAAGTTTCAAAGGTTTTTAGGTATTTAGAAAATAAGATAACATGAAGAACATATGGGATAAAATTTATTTCAGCAGCTATTTGCTAAATGTTTTTTAAAGTCCAGACAGTGTAAAAGATGAACAAAGTTGTATATAGAAGACTAAAGATTTAGTTAACAAAAGTGTTTGTAGTTTAAAATGTGTAGTAGTGTTAGATATTAGTCTTTTAAGAAGATTTCAAGTAAGTGCATGGAAAGTAGATGTGTTTGATGTAACTGTGTCTTATTTTATTTGATCGCAGGACTTTATTGACCTGACATTGTCGAAGACTCAACGAAAGACTCCAACAGTTATTCATAAACATTACCAAATTCATCGCATTAGACATTTTTACATGAGAAAAGTCAAGTTTACTCAACAGAATTACCATGACAGACTCTCACAGATTCTAACGGATTTCCCCAAATTGGATGTAAGTGACTCCAAGGGATACAAATAGTATGTAAATGTGAGCCTTCAGAAAATCGATGTTTAACCAGTTTGGTCTACTTATCTGACAGATAATGAAGGAAACAGAAAATAATTGACTTGTCAGAGTTTACTCAGTGAGTTAGTGGCAAAGCTGGGAACAGAACATGGGTTTTTTGATTCCTTAGTATTCTTCCTTTCCCCCAACTAAACCCCATGTAAGAGGGCCCAAAGCTATCTCCTCAAGCTTTCTTTGCAACCTGTAGGCTTGCGGGGCCAACCCAAGCTCTTTAGCTGAGGACTGTGAATCCAGGAGCCTGGGGTTCTGGCGGCTCACCAGCTCGTCTGGGCTTCCTCTCCTCCCTCTTTTCCAAGGCTCCTTTTCTTGTGGGCTCACATTGGATCAGTGGCCTGAGGTCCACACTGTTTGTGATCTTGTTGCTTTATCAGCCGTCGACGGTCAGTTCAGCACTGACCACTTTCTTCACTGCCAAGAAGAAATCAAGTGGGGAGCTGTGATTTATACATCAAGCTGAACAAGTTGAATTCCTCACTCTGCTGCATAGTGCAGTTTGCCCATTTATTTAGCTATGGAGGGCAGGAGCAGACACTGCTTATGAAGTCCCTGTGAGGGGTCACACACTTGCAAGGTTCTTTGAGGTGGTGAAGGACGTGGGGTCAGCAGTACAGTGTGAGAGCCTAAATTTGCCACTGCCCGGAAATAGTCCCTGAAGGTGGGTTAAGGCAGAGAGAAAAAGTTGGTTTATGTGACAAGAATTTCTTTTATATTTAAAAAGGTAATAATGGCTATTCAAAAAAATACAATAATAAGTCAATTCTGCTAGCAGACAGGCACTTATCTTATGTATATCTCTAGGACTTGACATAAGTGCTTGATAGCTGCTTATTGGATGAGTGAATAATTTTTTGGGAAAGGGCTAGTGCCATAGAAAGTACCTGGGAATGAAAAAAGACGGAAGAATGAGGCTATTCTAAACTGATTTGGTATTAGGAAGCACCTGATTTGAGCAAACAGAAAATATCGTGACCTAATTAGTACCATATTTTTGTGGTTCTTTGTAAGAAATTTTACATTTTTCATTCTTGGTGTTTTTTTTTATGTTAGAGGTTCAACTTTATAAACATTCTGTTTATTTATTTATTTTTAATTAGAGTTAGTTATATGAGGATCACTTTAGGGTAGAAGGTTAGGGTAAGTTACCATTCATTAAATGATTGTTGTGTCTCAGATACTGTTTTAGGCACTAGGAATACAGCAGTAATAAAAAAAAAAAGGTTTCTATCCTTGTCTAGTAAACATGACATTATATAGTGTGTCAGACAAGAAAGGAGAATAGGGAGTGCCTGAGCAGGGCGATTGTAGCAGAGACCTGAAGGAACTGAGGTGGTGAGCCATGCAGTTATCTGGGGAAAGAGCACTGTAGGCACAAAAATAGCAAGTGCAGAGGCACTAAAGTCTAGAGTGTGAGGTCTGTGAGGAGCAGGCAGACCCAGGAGGGCTGAGCAGCGTGTGTGAGAGGGAGGGCACTAGGAGGTGGGTCAGAGAGGTAGTGGGTGGAGCCAGCAACTTGTCTAGGACTTGAATTCTGTTCCTGAGGGAGCAGTTGGAGTTGAGCATGGGACATGCTGTGCTTTGATTTAGCTTTAGAGGATGACTGGCCTGTGGGGGAAGAGACCATTGGGAGGTGAATGCCATGACTTAGACCACTGGTGGTAGTGAAGGAGTGGAGAAGTGGTTGGCTTCGGAGTATCCTTTGAGGGAAGAGCTAATGGATTAGCTCGTGTGGCAGGTATGGGCCTTAGTACCTTGGGCAGTGGTGTTGCCATTCACTGAGACGGGGAAGGGGAGCAGGTTTGAGAGGAGGAGAGCAGTTTGTACACATTAATCATGAGATGTGGGTAAGATGTACAAGTAGAAGTGCCGAGCAGTCTGAGGTTCATGAGCAGTCTGGCCTGGAGATATAAAAATGGGACCTCTGAAAATGTAGACAATTCAGAACTGCGTGAGACCCCCAAGGAAGTGAGTATGGAAAGAAAAGTGCTCCAGGAACTGGAGTGTTGAGTGTTGCCGTGGGAGCACAAGCCAGCAATGCAGTTTGAGGAGTGGCCAGTTAGAGAGAAGAGCCACAGTGGGTCCCGAGGTCGTGGTATAAAATGCATCAGGAAGGATAAGTGGCCAGCTGTCTAGTGCTGCAAAGTGGTCTAGTAAGGTAAATGAGGATTGGGAGGTGAGTGGTGATCTGATGAGCTGTTTTGATGGATTAGTAGAGACCTGATTAGATTGGGTTTATGCGAGTGGGAGGAAAGAAAAGACACAGTACCTCTCTTTGTGTCATTTGCCAAGAAGAGGAGCAAAGAAATGGAAGGATTGTGGGTACAAGGGACTTTTAAAACTTTTAAAGAATTTTTTGGGAAATAACAGCATGGTTGCAGCGTGCTGGGAATCACCAGGTGGAGAGGGAAGAATTAATGGAAAAAAGTGGGAAGAATTTCTGGAGCTCAGTTCTTGAGAAATAAGGGGGTGGGTCTAGTGTACAAATGGAAACGTCACCTTGGCTGGATCCAAGGACAGTTCTCCCACAGTAGCGGGGATGAAGGGAGCATTCTCAGGCACAGGTCAGGTGCAAGTGCAGGCAGAAGTGACTTCTGGGCCTGCTTCCCTGCTTACTGCTTCTTTTTTCTCAGACAACTAAACAGACAGTCATTAGCCAGGAGAGAGGACTGGGGAGAAGATGCTGGGGGTGTGAGGAGAGAGGAAAAGGTGTGACATACTTCCCTAGGAAATTACTCTTCAAGTATTATTTACACATAGGGGTGAGAAACTGATAGCAAAATGACTGCCTTGTTTTTCTCGTTATAGGATATCCATCCATTTTATGCTGATTTGATGAATGTTCTGTATGACAAGGATCATTACAAGTTGGCTCTAGGACAAATAAATATTGCCAAAAATTTAGTGGACAAGTAAGGTATTTTCTTAACATAGTATCTTTTAAGTTATTGTCAGAAGTGAAAAAAATCTTATGTATTTGTTTTTATTTCTTTAAGTGTTGCTAAAGATTATGTGCGGCTTATGAAATATGGTGATTCTCTCTACCGCTGCAAGCAGCTGAAGCGTGCTGCCCTTGGGCGAATGTGTACCATTATCAAAAGACAGAAGCAGAGTTTGGAATATTTGGAACAAGGTATTCTTTATGTGTAAGCAAAAATGGTTTTTAGTGCATTCTCTTAAGGTACTTGATCCTTGTTGAGGCCTTATTTTTGAAATACTTCTGTCTTATTTAAGAGATGACAGGGTCAAATTATTTTTCCCAGCCTAGCTTATAAGAAATTCTAACAGGCTAATTGTTATTGAAAAAGTGGCTAACACATATAATGCTTACAAATTAATAGCACTATTAGGAAAATTTATTTTTTGTATTTAATAAGTAAAGCATATACGTTATAAATCACAGGAAAATACCAAAAATATATATATAAAAATAAAATGATTCATAGTTTTACCTATTATTGACACTTTAATTTTTTTTAGAAATACTTTTCTTTGTAATATGTGCTAGCATCAAACTGCCACTCTAGTTTTGTTACCTGATAGTTCTATTTAATAGGACAATTTCTGAATTAGTGTAGTAGGATTTTTATTGAAACAGTTATTTGCCTTTTTACATGCATATATTTTTACACTACAAATTTTTTTAATTCAGTTGGTTTTGTTCCCTCTCCCCCTGCATCTTATAAATAATTTATGACAAGATTGTAATACTTGGCTGCTTTGACAGTGCTTCAGCTGATCTGTTTGATCTTGAGGGTAGCCCAGTAGTGTACTGGAGCTGTGTGCATTGCAGACGAGGCACCTGATTGGTCATTACATGGAAAGAGCCCCTTGCTAGCCAGGAAGTGATGGCATGCATGCTCCCTTCAAAAATCGTTTTCCAAACATCACCTCACTTAGTAAGAATCATCTGGGCACTTCTTAGAGGTGTGTTTTTGGTCCCACCTTTGACGTTTTGGGTAGGGATGCCAAGTTGGTAGGGCCTAGGAACAGGATTCTTGGTACAGCCAGATTTGGAAAATACTCTTCTGTATCATGGTGCCTCTGCAACTAATCCTTTTTTCATTCATTTATATTTTCTCTGTCACTTATGTTATAAATGTTGGAGTGAGGGTGCCAGGCCAGTGGCATAGCAGTTAAGTGCACGCGCTCCACTGCGGGGGCCTGGGGTTCAGATCCTGGGTGCGCACCGAACACAGCTTGACAAGCCATGCTGTGGCGGCGTGCCATATAAAGTGAAGGAAGATGGGTGTGGGAGTTAGCCCAGAGCCAGTCTTCCTCATCAAAAAGAGGAGGATTGCCGAGAGATGTTAGCTCAGGGTTAATATTCCTTACACATGAAAAAAATAAAATAAAAAAATAAATGTTGTAGTGAGGTTAACATAACCATGGGCCTGGAGTATAAGTAAGTCAAGCAGATCTTAAACTTTGAGTTTCTTAATTTTTCTTATGAATAATTAAACACATTTAATTTAAACTTCTCATAGTGCGTCAGCATTTGTCCCGTCTGCCAACTATTGACCCGAATACAAGGACCCTGCTTCTGTGTGGGTACCCGAATGTCGGCAAATCCAGCTTCATCAATAAGGTTGGTGTGTCTCTGATGATAACACAGGTGACCAAGGACCTGAGACCAAAGCACTGCCATGTCCTGACCATGTCGGGTAGAGGACAGCTGACCAGTTAGTTGATACTGCCGTAGGCTTAAGACACTGTTTCCTTGAAGGGAGGATTGGCTCTGTCTGAACCTAGATTTATATTGCTATTACAGAAACCATTTTATTTTTGATTCTTGTAAGTGTCCTACAGATTAGTAAGGGATTTGAGACATTCAAGTGCATTTTTGTTAATACACGGAGAGCTTCTCATAGGATGTATTGTCTCCACGTACTTTGGGAATGGTAGTATCAGGGAGTTACTCTTGATTGGCAGCCTGCACTTGCTAAATTGGACTTCCTAGTCTCTGAATGTATTTTTTGGGTGAATGTTACCTTGGTTGCTGTATCAACTTCACATAAACTATTTGTTCCAGGTAGCAGTAAGTGGCTGAGTCTCCTTTCCTGACTGAGGGGTTTTTTTTGTTTTGTTTTGTTTTTTGGTGAGGAAGACTGGCCCTGAGCTAACTTCTGTGCCCACCTTCCTCTATTTTGTATGTGGGACACTGCCACAGCATGGCTTGATGAGTGGTGCTTAGGTCCGAGCCAGGGATCCGAACCTGTGAACCCTGGGCTGCCAAAGCGAAGCGCACAAACTTAACCATTGCGCCACCGGGCCAGCCCCTGACTGAGTTTAATATTTGGGGCTCAAGGATACTATTTAAGTAACTTGGTAACTTGGTGCTTCAGAACAATGTAGCTAAGCTTAAAGGACCTGAACAAAGTAGAAACAGTGTTTAAAATGTCAGTTCAGGGAGCCGGCGCCGTGGCATAGTGATTAAGTGCGAGTGCTCTGCTGCTGGCGACCCGGGTTCGGATCCCAGGCGCGCACCGATCGATGCACCACTTGTCAGGCCATGCTGTGGCGGCGTCCCATATAAAGGGGAGGAAGATGGGCACAGACGTTAGCCCAGGGCCAGTCTTTCTCAGCAAAAAGAGGAGGATTGGTGTGGATGTTAGCTCAGAGCTAATCTTCCTCACAAAAAAATTAAAAAATAAAATAAAACGTCAGTTCACAACCAGCAACAGCTCAGGTGCCAAAAAACAATTGTTACATATGTTGTGGCTACTTGCTGCCCAAAACACTTTGGTTTTTAAGCAGATTTGTAGGTTTTTATTTAGTCCACAAATTGCAATGATAGAGTGACAAGCCGAAGTTCTGCAGTGACCTAGCTGACGTCTCAAACACTTGTAAGCCAGTGCCGTGGGCTGTCAGCCACTTAATTAATTAAAATTAAACAATAAAAAAATTCAGTTCCTCAGTCGCACTGAGCACATTTCAAGAGTTCTTGGGGACACATGGCTAGCGGACCCTGTATTGGACAGTCCAGATATAGAACCTTTCTGTGGTCACAGAAAGTTCTTTTGGGCATTTCTGGGGCCGAGGAGGATGAGAGGAGAAGCTGATGGATGTCCTCCAAATACTGGGCCTTCCTTGCCTCCTAATACCTGATTTGGACTGTTCCTCCATGGGCCCAGTGATGTGAGGAAGTGGAGCCTGTCTGTCTGTCAAGGTGTGGTAGCTCCTGTCTTCAGGAGTTTAATTATGTGAGGGCTGTCTTTTTTTTTCCTCTACCAAAAAAAATTAGTCTTGATAACATGTTTACATTATTTGAGAGGAAATAGGGTATAGAACTTCTGTGATTGTGAGAGTTTATTGTTTTGTTTTAGGTGACAAGAGCAGATGTGGATGTCCAGCCTTATGCATTCACGACCAAGTCTCTGTTTGTCGGGCACATGGATTATAAGTATCTGCGTTGGCAAGTGAGAGTTCTTATTTTTAAACATAGAATGGACATCTTGGTGGTTATGTTAATGGATTTTGATTTTGATGATTCCTAAAGTCCATTTCTCAGTGTACTTAGAGTCATAGGGAAAACAGGAGGTGGGATAGATTCTCAGGGTCACCAGGAACATCCCCATGAAGAAAACTCATCTAAGCTTTGACATTGCATGAGGGCAGTTCTTGCTTCTCTGATCGGTTTCTGGGGAAGTAGCTACCAGTGTAGATTTATGCGTTATGTTATCAGTGGTGCTTCTGATGAAATGAAAGTCTCCTTGTCATTGTTCTGAGTCTGTCATTAGAAATGGCATTTGCTAACTATTTAAAGGGAAGCAACCTGTTTCCACGGTTGAATTTAATTTTATAAATGATGAAGTAATTCCTAACCTGTGGAAGTGTTTGCCAGTTCTTCCAGTTCTATTTAATGATGTCCCTAATGAAAAGAAGAGTCATTCTCTGAAGGTCATTGGCTAATTCTTTAGTGAGCTCTCGGTCCCTCCACCCTTCCCATAAATATTTAAAGGATATGTACTTTTCCCTCACTGCTTTATTTTATTATGGTTGGTTGGGAGACCTACATTTTATTTACTGGTTTTCTCAGAACTAGTTTGGGTATGAGTGACCTCCAGGGTGTGCTGGATGGGAAGTTTGTGAATATGTGTGCTTTGGAGTAATGAATCTGACTGTTAGGTTGTAGATACTCCAGGGATTTTGGACCACCCTTTGGAGGATCGGAACACCATTGAAATGCAGGCCATCACGGCCCTAGCCCACCTGCGTGCTGCAGTTCTGTATGTGATGGATTTGTCTGAGCAGTGTGGGCACGGGCTGAAGGAGCAGCTGGAGCTCTTCCAGAATATCAGACCTCTCTTTATCAACAAGGTAAATGTGATAACCAGTATTTTCATTTATAACCTGCAATGTGAAGGTGGTAATTTCATTGTTTTTCTTCCTTGTTCTAGCCTCTTATAGTTGTAGCAAACAAATGTGATGTGAAGAGAATAGCTGAACTTGCTGAAGACGATCAGGTAAATCACCTTAATATTTTGAATATTTGCTACTTACGAATTCTGAATCTCGTCTCAGACAACGAAAGTTGAGGAGAAATTTTAGCAGTGCTAGTCCTGTTTTTTATTTTACAGTTGAGATAATATTCCTTGGTTTAGTCGACATAACATTCATTATAAAAACCTAGGTAGTGGCAAACTACAACTGAAATTTCTGAATTCTTGCTCTGTTTTAGAGGCTATGGAAGTGTCCATGCATTTGACAGGTCAGTGCCTTGGAAGATGTGCTTACTTGGGAAGGGAGTGTTCTCTTAGATTGGTGCCTTACAGGAAGCAAAGCACCTTAAGATATGCTTTGCCTCTTGCAGGACTCAGGCTACCAGGGCACTGAAGCAGCCCTACGCAGAGTACGTTTCTAGGTAGGAAGGGTTTCATAGGTGTTCCTTAGTGTACCTGCTGCACAGGCTTTGTGGTGAAATGAGTTTGGGAATTGAGTGCGTGAATGAAGGAGAAGGAGCATCTGCAAACTTTCGAGAACCGTGAGTGTGTAGTGTCTACTGTAATTTTCCAAGAGGCAGGTGATATTGTTAGCCCTAGTTTTTCAAACTAATTTGACCCTGCAGCCCTTTTTAATAGGCATATTTCAGGTACAGTGGTTCTCATATCATGGTCCCCAGCCAGCAGCATCAGCATTGCTTTCCCATGGTAATGTGTCATAAATGCGAATTCTTGGTTACACCTCAGGCCTATGGAATCAGAAACTGGGGAGGCTCCCAGCAGCCTGGGTTTGAATGGGCCCCCGGGTATTAGATGCACACTGGAGTTTGAGAACCACTGCACTGGAATAATGAACTCGACCTGGCCGCATCTACTAGAGTATACTCACCACATCAAAGGAGCAGGTCTCTCGAGAGGGGTGTGCTGCTCTCTTCTCAGTCAGTGTGTCTCTCTTGTGCTGTTTAGATGTTTAATGCTTGGTAAGAATTCAGTTCCTTGGGGCACTGCAGTGTATTTTTTAAATTACTAATCATATAAATACTGACGTCAGAGAATTTGCTTGTCTTTGAAAAGATCCAAATATCTATGGAGCAGTCTCAGGTTTCTAGGCTACAAGCATCATAGGGTGGGGAAGAGGGGAGGGTGGGAACACTGGGAAGGTTGAGGCGGGTGTTGCACCAGATGCTCAGGCTCTGCAGTTAGACCTGCTCCAGTCACCACTTCACCCCCTGTCAGCCGTGATGGGCGAGGTCACCTTTCAGGAATCAGTGATAGTAACACCTGCATTATTGAGCTGTGTATCAGTGATGTTGTCGGGGAGATTTAATGGAATTGGAAAGCAAATGGGTAGTGGGCACTGTAACAATATTAGTGTTTGGTTAACACTGTTGCAGCCTGCCTTGTATTTATTGGTGCTTGTGACTTCATCAGAGCAGCAGTGTAGGTTATTACCCCATATTGCATGTAATGAACGCTGTCACCGTGAGCTCAGGCAGGTGTAGTGTCTTACTCGGGATCATGTGCCAGTCATTGGTGGGATTGGCTCTTAGACCCCGATGTTCTCCAAGACCATTGCTCTTTCCAGGGGAGGAGGGAGTCTTAACTGCTAAGTTGGACTCTAGTGAGGAGGGAGGTAGATCTTGTTCATGAGAAGCTTGGCTATCATCGGCGTGGTCACCTGCGTCTGAACGTGGCCACGTCTGCAGTGAGGTATCAACATGGCATTGGTGGAGGGGTGCACAAATGAAGTCCTTTCTCTTAGAGTCTTAGTGATTTATATGTAGCTAGCTTTGTAAACGTTTTTGTGTTTTCTAAGGAATTCTCCTAGGCTGGGGAGACCAAATATTTTATAAAAAATAGCATTGAAAACATCCATATCTTGATCTTCCCAAGTTTCATTTTGGAAGGTGAGGTCTCACAGCATGTTCTGGAGAGCCTCTAGTTTGCTTGCTATAGTCTGGTTTGATCCTCCCAGTAATTTGTATTTTCTTAATCACAGAAGGATATGTGGGAAGATTACACAACTGTTTAAGTTCAAATAACAAACCACACATGTTGTGCTAGTTAGCATTTGTAACACCCATTTGAGGAATAGTAAGATTCGTTCATGGGGAACTGGAAATAAATGCATCTCTCATTTTTCATTTGTATTCCCAGAAAATATTTACAGATTTGCAGGCTGAAGGATTTCCTGTGGTAGAGACCAGCACGCTGACGGAGGAAGGGGTTATTAAAGTGAAAACAGAGGTCAGTGCTTCCTTACAAGCAGATGTTGACCCCTTTATTGTCTTTCTTTTGTTTTAGAAAAGTCAGTTGTTGGGGGAAAGTTGTTTTCTTTCTAGGTGGTATTGACATTGAGCACTGGTAGTAACTAGGCCGGAGAAATGAGTGTAAGTGCCCTCACTGAACCCGAGGCCCCCACCTGCCGGAGTGAATGTGGGAATTTGAAGAGATACTTACACTCCTACTGTGGGTAATTTTAACTTGAATCACTGTCTGCTGTGTCTCTTGACCTGCCAATATTTCCACGAGAGCTGTAGTGAAAAGTACTTTCATGGAACCTGTTTAGAAACAGAAGGGAAAAAAGTAGTGTGAAAAGTAGGAACAGTTTGAGGAGGCATTTCCTGTTAGATTTCATATGCAATTCTAATTATTTTTACTTCATTGTTATTTTTACCTGAAATAAAAAGAAAGGGCATGATACTGTTGGTTTTACTCAGGTCTCAGTTGCTCCAGTTAGAGTCCTGAGGTGGAACATGAATCTAGTTACAGAGGACTGTCTAATTAGCTAGCTCAAGGGTCGCCAGTGGTGGGAGACAGGCCTGGAATGGGACATGGGGGTGCTCGGGCGAGCTTTGCAGCAGCACTACCTCAGGGTTCTGCCTCAGATTAGGCCTGGCCTAGAAAGGGAGAAAGATGCCTCCTCCCTCTCTGGAGAGTGTGGTCTGCCCCAGAGTAGTTCCCTTAGGGTAGTCCCAAGGACTTAGCCACCAGATGTCACTACCGAGGAAAAATGCATAGCGTGTTCCAAACCTTTGGAACATAATCTGCTGGTTAGTGGGGCTCTGGTTCCTGGTTCCTCCTGGAAAGGTGCAACAGGAGGCTGCTGCAGGATGCCTTGCAACTTGGTGCCTTGTTTTCTCACCTTCTTAGGCTTGTGACAGGCTTTTGGCTCATCGAGTTGAAACCAAAATGAAAGGAAATAAAGTGAATGAGGTGCTGAACAGATTGCATTTAGCTATACCAAACAAAAGAGATGATAAGGTAAGGCTGCCTTTCTAGAGAGCCTTTGAGATAAGATTGTGTTACTGATATGATCAGTGGACACCACTGCATCCCTTCTTCCAGGGGTGCAGATTCAAATGGATCTCATGAGTGGTCTTGAGTTTCTTACTAAGAATGAAAATTATGCCATGTGTATCATAAACAATTGAAAAGGTTAAAAAAAAAAGTATAAAGTGCCAAGTTAAAACCTGCTTCTCACTCCACCAGAGGCAGTTACTGTTAACTCTGTTGTTTGTCATTCCAGAAATATTTTTGGCATATAAGCATATTTTTAAAAAATTTTTAACAGAAATATATTAGGTTCTTTTAAAATTTTCCTTTTTTTTACCATTGTGAACAGTACTCAAGAGCACGTCTTTATACATAGGTCTTTGTTTTTAATTGGAGTAAATTTTAAGGTATAGCATTGAAAATGTCATTGTCCTCCAAAAATGCCTTACTAGTTTATACTCCACTGACAGTTTGAGAATGCATGTTTTACTGCATCATTGATGGGTTAGCTTCTGTCAATCTAATAGATTGAAGATGGTTGAAGATGGTTTTATTGTGATATATTTCTTTAATAATTAGTGAAGTTGAGCATTTTTAGTGTGCTTATTGGCTTCTTCAGTTCTCTAGGTCATTTATCGTTTACTCATTGATTTGTAATTTTTATATTAAGGAAATCAGACTTTTTGTATGTTTTGTAAATATGTTTTATTTTTTTTGGTGAGGAAGGTTAGTCTTGAGCTAACATCCGTTGCCAATCCTCCTCTTTTTGCTGAGGAAGATTGGCCCTGGGCTAACATCCGTGCCCATCTTCCTCTACTTTATATGTGGGGCGCCTGCCACAGCGTGGCTTGATAAGCAGTGCGTAGGTCCGTGCCTGGGATCCGAACTTGTGAACCCCCGGGCCACCAAAGCAGAGCATGCGAATTTAACCACTGAGCCGCCAGGCTGGCCCCTGTTCTGTAAATATTGTTTTTCTTTTTGTCATTTGCTTTTTGATTTGGGGGATTTTTTTTATCTCAAAGAAATTACACATTTTTAAACTATTAGTGTATATTAATATTTTCTTTATGGCTGCTGGGTTTTGTGTTATGTATAGAAAGGCCTACCATCCATTCTAAAAATATTCTTTAAAAAGTATTTTTTCTTCTATATTTTGATGGTTTAATTTTTTTTTAATTTTGCCTGTTTTGACTGGAAGTCTTCAATCAGTCTTGAGTTTATTTTGTTCTTAGGAAGCAAGTGGAGGTAGTTACCCACCTCTATTTTCAACTGGCTAGTCATTTATCTCACAACTAATTGATTAATGCATCTTTCCATTGAATTTCTCATATGTACTTGGGTTTATGTCTAAATTTCTCATTCATTGATCTGCTTTATTTCTCCTGTATCACTTTCTTTGTCTATAATTTTTCTTGATAATCTTGATGTGTATTTTTTCTAAGTAAACTTTAGAATTGGCGTGTGAAGTCCTCCTGGCTTCCTTGCCCAAACTGGCCCTGCATTCTCCCCTCTACCCCTGAGTCACCTATTGGTTTTTAATTGGTTTGAGTATAATTTTATATTTTCCTTGCAGATGAAGAATTTGCTTCTAGTTTTTTTGTTTGTTTGTTTCTTTCACATTCAGCAAGGTGTTTCACATAAATATTTCCAATAATATCTTCTCAGGAGAGGCCTCCTTTCATCCCAGAAGGAGTGGTGGCACGCAAAAAGAGAATGGAGATTGAGGAGCCAAAGAAGAAAAGGGTAAGTTGCTGTAGGTTTCCTTTTAGAGAGGGGTAGAAAGGCTGTGCGTGCAGTCAGGGTGGAGACTTAGAGCAAGAATGTGCTTAGAGCACCTGGTGCCCACTCTGTCAGGCTCTGAGAACATGGCTGTGGAAGCTGATGAAGGTCCCTACCCTCGTGGATGGGAGGTGGCAGTGAACAAAGTACATACGTAACAGATATGGTCCACTGGATGGTCCAAACAGCTTTCCTGCCAGAAACAGGAGCTGAGCCTCATGGGGTTGGAAGGGTTGGCAGTTAGATTGGAGAACAGATGATTTCACAGGGACAGGGAGAGGCTCAGCATTTCTGGACCTGAAAGGTCAAATAGAGCTGATTATAATTGTTTTGTTTTTTTCATTGCAGGAACGAGATATTGAACTGGAAATGGGAGATGATTATATTTTGGATCTTCAGAGTAAGGGCTAGAATGTAATCTAGTGTAAAATGCCAGTTGCTTGTAAAGTGTTTCAGAAAAGTGTGGAAAGACTTTAATGAGTGAAAGTCTTCCAGCATTTTGTTAATTTAGTTTCTTAAAGATGAAAGGTCACATACTGACAGGGCTCTGTGAGATTTCTTCCAGGTAAATTTCTCTTGTTTTTGGTTAACGGGGATTATTTTTTTAGCTTTCTTAGCATATAAATGCTGAAACATTTGATATTGTTAATAATCTGTTATTCGTGCCTGTCGTTTCCCTTCAGGTATGTCTTACTTGTTTTTTATTTTTGTTTTCCTTCTCTGGTCACTTAATCCTGAGATACTGATATGCCTTGGGAAACGTTTGGAGTAATTCTTTCATAAGGATGTTACTTTGCTTATGTGGTGTCGAATACAAATGTTCTCTTGTCTTTGTAGAGTGACATGACTTGTGTAAGTCACAACTCATTTTGGGCACATAGTTGAAGGTATTAAAAACTATAAGTGTAACTTTTTTTTTTTTAACTTTAGAGTACTGGGATATAATGAATTCATCTGAAAAATATGATAAGATACCTGAGATCTGGGAAGGCCACAATATAGCTGATTATATTGATCCTGACATCATGCAGGTTTGTGTCACTCATTAAATTATGTGATTTTTATTCTTTTTTAATGCGACCACTGGAAGATACGAGCATAACCTTGGGCTCACCTTGTCTGTTCCCCTCGCTCCTTCTACCTCCACCAAGCCTCTAGTCCTCAGTCACCAACAGCCTGCTCCTGCCGAGTGTCCTGAGACTCCAGGGCTCTGCCAACTGGGTTGCCACAGGCACAGCACCATTAATCCTCTTCCTCTTGGCTCACATTCTTCCATCAAGGCCCCTTCCAGACTCCTCCTCTTCTCAAACCTGCCCATACTTCCCTCTGCTGGTCTCAGCAGATGGCCCCCTTTTATAAAGAAAATGGAGTCATGGGGTGTGAATTTCCTAATCTCTCAACACTCCGTCCTTCCTCATGTAGGGCCTTCTCGTTGCAAAAGTTTAGCCCTTGGGGCAGGCTCTGCTTGCTCTCTGACCTGGCCCGTTCTTGTCTCCTCTGGAGTTTTCTCATGTCTTCCTCCTGTTCAGTCCACTCCTCATTTGTTACTTTGTAGTATGTGTCTCCACAAGTTTTTCTCATCTTTTGTGAAAAACAAAAACTTTCTTAAACCCTGTGTCCTCCTTCAGTTGCTATTCTGTCTTCATCTCCTCAGTCAAGCTTTTTGAGAAAATAGTTTATAAAATATTTGCAGTCCATATTTCCTCATTTTCCAGTCCTCAATTCCCAAATGCGGTCCTGAATTTATACTTCAGTCTGGTTGTCATTGTCTGCAAGCTCTTCACACCCTACATTTCAGACTCATTTCTGCTTCAGAAGCTGACCTGGTTGATAACATGATTTATCTGGGTATCCAAGGAGTAAACTTAATGTAAGCCTCCTTCACTCTTCTGTTCGTCTTTACTCCCCTTTTGAAATATTTGTTGTTCTCTCATCTCATTTCATCCTCAGCTTTTGCTTTCATTGGTCTTCCTCCTTTTCACTCTGTTGTCCACACTCCCACACGAGAGAAATCATGTCATTCTCCTTTAAGCTCTTGGGTATGCCTCCTGCTTCGTCTCTTGTGTAGTGTCCAGTTTCCTTAGCGTGGGTTCAAGGCAGCCTGTGATCGGCCTGGCCTGTCCCCTTCCCAGCCTCCCTCCATCTGTGCAGTTTTCACATAAGTAGTCATGTGGGCACATTGGACTGTCAGATTTCTGTAAAGGTTTATTTGTTAGGTTGTGATATACATACATGTATTTTTTGTTTTTGTTTTTTTAACTGTAAAGCCAGTGAGGTGGTGTTTTGGGATGGCATTAGGATGGATAAATAGGCTATTGTAGTGTTAGACCAGTTCAGATTGATGTTCTAAGTTTTTCAAGAACCAGGGTTCTTTCACGTATCTGCTGGGAGTGGTGGGGAATGAGAGAGGGGACATCTGCACGTTTTTAACCTTAGTGTTTGGCATAATTGTTGTTAAATAAGAAAAAGAAATGGCATGGAACAGTTAAAACAACTTAGTGTTTGTGCAGTCTTCATTTTCTCACAGAATCTGTTTGCTGGGAGGTAAGCCCTGGCATGTAAGACGAGGCCCACCTGAGACTGGACCCTGGCATTCATCACATCCTGAAAGACTTAGTGGAAACCTTATTCCTATATAAACGTTGCTACACTTGTTTATGAGTTTTTCATTATTGATTTTAATTACAACTCTTTTTAAAGAAATTGGAAGAGTTGGAAAAAGAAGAAGAGCTAAGAACAGCTGCTGGCGAGTATGACAGTGAATCTGAAAGTGAAGACGAAGAAATGGTGGAAATCCGACAGCTTGCAAAAGAAATTAGAGAAAAAAAGAAGTTGAAAATTCTGCAATCCAAAGAGAAGAATACACAGGGACCCAGAATGCCTCGAACTGCAAAGAAGGCAAGTTTTATTTCTCTTCACAGAGGTCTGACCTATTTCCTTGTGTATTGGGTTCTTGTATAGTTATTGCTAAATACATTTCAACCCATATGTGTCCATAAGATAGATTGTACTTACTTTGTTTTGTTGGTATATATTGACTTTTGAGCTCGCTTGAGTCTTGATCTTTATATTCTGATTGTTATACCTTTTCTTGGTGACTTCCACGTTCAACACGATTAGATTCAAGTACTTTGCAGTTGTACAAATTAAGTTCATACTTCATGATTTGTGGAAGTAAAGCCATCAATTCACGTTTTTATTCTTTAATTTCTGTATCGCTCAGGACTCATCTTTTGCAATTTACAGAAACCTCAGCCAATCTAACTTAAATCCAAAGGCGATTTATTGGCTCCTATGACTGGTTAGGATGGGAAGAATCGCACTTTAGGCACGAATGGATCAAATGATGTCAAGATTATTTCCACTTCCCAGCTCCATCTTTGTTAGGCATCTTTCTCTCCTGCTCCACACTCTTGTCAGGGCGGCCAGTGAGGCTAGGTCCTGTGGTTGCCCCCAAACCACAGAACATGGCAGAAAGGGAGGGCCAGCTCCCCAGAGAAAGAGGGCGATGTGCGGGGCAGTTAAAGTGTAATGGGTGAGGAAGAATAACGACAACATTCCAGACATCTCTTGATATATATTCGTGTGTTTGAAATACTGTTTTGATGTGATGGCAAATGACCAGTTCTTGACAGACGTAGACATCACTGTATTGCCCCAGTGGTGCTCAGTGGGCTTGGGAGGAGGTGTTGGCCTCTGGAGTCGGCATCTTTGGGCACATCGCCTGGCCTCAGCTTTAGTGACCTCCTATGCATGCGGAGAATCCCCTGCAGAGTTGTGCAGAATCATAGACGTGAAGTGTACATCATCTTACACATAGCAATTATCCAGGAAATGTTAGTTTTCATGCAATTTAATGAGCTGTCCAAAAACTTGAACATAAACCCATTTCATCAAACTAATTTTGCTTAAAACAAGTATCTTTTTTCCCACCATTTCAGGTTCAGCGGAAAGTCTTGGAGAATGAGATGCGCAGTCTTGGTGTTGACATGGATGATAAAGACAATGTGAGTGTGCAGAGATGGTCTCAGATGCTTGCATAGTTGGATGTAGGTTTGTCTTAGAAAACCGGGGTCTTAGAAACCTGTAGGATTACAGAGTTGACTAAAAGAGAAATTAGAATTTCAGTATTTCCATTGAGGAGCTTCATTAGCATGAGATCTTGATTGGAAGTGGCTGGTTAAGTACTGAACAATCGTGTTAGTCACGCTGTTTTGTCCTTTGCCCTCAGGGAATGGTTCGGGGGCGTTTGGCTCAAAGGACCATGCTGTTGGTGCAGGATGGTGTTTCCAAACTTAGTTCTTATTGTGGATAGACCTTGTATCCTCCATCATCCTTAATTAAAACTCATCCCTGGGGTTGGGGAAGGTTTCTCTGGGTGTTACTCCGGTGTTCTGCTTCAGTTAACCTTAGTTATGTAACATGGCCCCAGTGCATTTTCTTTTTCTTTGTTTTGTTGCTTCATGTCAGTGTTTCATTGTGTATATATATATATTATTTTCCATTCCAGGTTAATGGAAAATTCGGAATATACCGAAAACTTTTTAGAAAAAAACCACTTGTGGTTACAGCACACAAAAATAAACTAGGTTGACGTGTGGTACATTTTTGCATCTACTTTTCATTGTGATATAAGCATTTTTCATTTTAGGATAATTTTCTCACATTTTTAATTGAGTAAATAGATTTAGGTTCTTTATTTAGGCTTTTTGGATTGTTTGTAGTTTAAAAATTCATTTGCTGTCCCCTCAAAGAATGTAAGATGACATATAGGAAATATACAATAAAATAGAAGAATTTGCATAGGGAAAAATATGAATTGGAATAGAGTGTCAAAGAGAACAAAAGAGATAAATTTATCTGTCCTACACAGTTTTTGTACTTGAACTATGACTTTGATTTTGGTGACTAGTCTTTACATAGAGCTTTCATTAGCTTCAATTCAGTTACCAAATAAATATGAGGTATCATTGAACCTCTCAATGTGAGAGGAACTTTGGCTGTGAATACCTCAGAACTGTTTTCCTTGGAGCCCAGAAATTAGAAGCATTTCAGATATGTATTAGAATTCTAATTTTTTTTGCTGGATGAATTATGCCAGAGCATAGTATACATCTTCATATAAAAGAACTTTTTCATATTCTGGATTATTTTCTCAAAACAGCTTTCCTGGGCCGGCCCTGTGGCTTGGTGGTTAAGTGCGCGCGCTGCGATGCTGGTGGCCCGGGTTCGGATCCCGGGTGCGCATCGAGGCACCACTTCTCCGTTCATCCTGAGGCCGAGTCCCACATACAGCAACTAGAAGGATGTGCAGCTACGACATACAACTATCCACTGGGGCTTTGGGGGGAAAAAAAAAAAAAAAAAAAAAAAACAGCTTTCCAGAAATGGAATTACTCAAATCAAAGGATAATGTTCTGTCAAAGTTTTTTTCCAAGAGGGGTAGACTAATTTGGGTTTTAATCAGCAGTGTACGAGAGGATCCTGCTCTCATGGAGTAGTATTTTAAGGTAGATACATAGCTTCTGACTTCCAGTTGTTTATTAAGTGCTGGGCTTACTGCCTACATGCCTTGCAGAGTAGTAGTAGTATCCTTATTTCCTCATTGTTTATCTCAGTTTACATCGTTATTTCAGTAACGAGGGTGAGCAAGGCACCCACGACCAGCGTGAGCAGAGCTGACTTGCCGAGGGACTGACCACAGAGCCCGTCCTTAGCAGTCTGCGTGTCTTTGCTTAACTCAAGGCTTAGCTTTCTGGTGGCTGTCACTCTGTGTTCAGATAGATAACCCCAAAATGGAGGAGTGAAGGAGAGAGAACTCTTTATATCTGAAATAGAAATTGTGATGCTAACCTGATGATTTAGGGTAAGGGAAAACATTGTTGAATGGGCAGCTCTAAGTAAATTTATTTAAATGGAGTTAAAATCAGCTTTGTAACATAAAGTAGTTATGTTAAGTGAAAAAGAATATTTGACCAATAATCTAACGTGAGATTAGTTGTATTTTAAAGATCTTTAGCTTATTTGATAATGGTTCTAAAAACTCCTAACTGTCCTTTCCCCTCTTCGGGGTAGTTTCGTTTCACCTTTGTCACTAAGCCTGGAAGCCAGGCTGGGATCCTGAAGCACTGAAGTTTGCTTTTCAGGCCCATTATGCAGTCCAGGCCAGGCGATCTCGGAGTGTTACTAGGAAAAGAAAGCGGGAAGACTCTGTTCCACCCTCTTCCGTAGCCCGGAGTCGCAGTTGTTCTCGAGCTCCACGTGATGTCTCTGGTCTTCGGGACGTCAAGGTTAGTCTCTGTAATGTGTAATTAATAAAACAGTGGCCTCTGCTGTTTATTACATGAGGCTTAGGGAAAACACCAACAGTTGTCATTTGGAATGGCAGGGACTGCAGATGGGAGATTAGCTGTGTGCTGCACTCCAAAAAGCAAGCTTGGGCCAGGGTACAGTGGGTGTCCCTGGACCTTTGTCCTAGGTGCACCATTCCCTAGTGGTGTCTTTTCTCAGGAGTGGACAGAAGCATGGTGTGATATGGCACCAGACGGTCTGAACCTAAGTCCCAGCCATTTAGGGTCGTGGTAAGAAATGGATGGATGCTGCCCAGAACCTGGAGGCCAGGGACCTTCACCCCCAACAAGCCCATGCGGGGAACCAACCCAGAGGGAGCTGTTTTGACCAGTCTTTTGGATGTCCACAGTCTTTTTTGCTGAAGCTTCTGTTTATTAAGAAACACAAAAATTATTAGTTTCAGCATTTTGAAAGTTTAGATGTAGGAGAAAGTCTGTATATAAACTGGCACGCAGTCTACTTGATGGAAGCCTGAGTTTTCCATTCCACCATGCCATCTCCATCTAGAAATCTAGATTTTAATATCAGTATTGCCACTCGTCAGTCATATGTAAGCAGTACAGTTTTATGGGCCAGAATCGCAATTTCTTCATTTGTGTAAGAGGGAGTTGGAACAGGTGTATCTAATCTTCCAGGTCTAAAATATGTCTGGTCTTTCTAGGTACAAAACTTATCTAGATATAATTTTACCCCTGTCTTCATACACAAATATTTTACCCCTGCAGGTACTGTGGTGGGTCTGAGGGAAAACAGCAGTGAGTGAGACTTAGCAGGGCTTCTCTTCACAGAACAGACCTGGATCATTGAGACAGGTAATGAAAATCCATGTGGAAGGTTAGTTTTCAGTAGCTAACGTGTTCATGTTTTCTTGTCTTTTATAGATGGTGAAGAAAGCCAAAACCATGATGAAGAATGCTCAGAAGAAGATGAATCGCTTGGGGAAGAAAGGCGAGGCAGACAGACATGTGTTTGATATGAAGCCCAAGCACTTGCTCTCTGGAAAGAGGAAAGCTGGTAAAAAGGACAGGAGATAGTGTCCGTGGCAGCTGGGACAGTGGCTAGACCACTGTGTGTTTCTTGGTTTGCTATCATATGGTTTCATAAAATTGGAGTCATGATCTATAAACTGAAAATAACAATGGAAATAACGAAAGCAGTTGTTGCTTTCCTGAAAACTGTGGTTAATCCTTAACTGTACAGGTGTGGGACATTTTTATCACTGCATAGTATTACAGATATTTTGAGCAGACAGTGGTTTCTGCATTTAATGGAGTTTTGATTGCTTCGCATTTGCAGAACTGGAAAGATTTATTGATTTGACTATGTTGTTTTTGATGGAGAAAAATCTTTTCTTCTGCAAGAGGGAACTTTGGTTCACTGCGCACAAATAGTCCTTTTTTGCAAAGAAAACATCTTCACTTGTGGACATGGCCAGAAGTCTGCCAGCCCTGTCCGGCAGACACAACTACAAACACAAGTTTATAGGTGTTTTGGAACACAGGGCTAAATTATTTTCTAGTCTTTTGTACAGTGTACCATTGTAATGTGTCTTCAACTATTTTATCCAAGATAAATTTCCAAAAGAAAGTAGTTTTGATTTATTTAGGATTTTTTTGTTTTGTTTTGTTTGTTTAGTTACACATCACTGTCAGTTTGGCCAAATGAAAAGGGGGAAAAATAAATGACAATGTTTTTAAAGCAAAAAATACTTTTTTTGTGGAATAAAATGTTGCCTAAGGCCCTACAACAATTAAATGTGGGCATCTCCTTCAGTAGTCCATTGCTGGTGTTTGATAAAACACACAAACATTCCCAACACTACCACAAAAACACCTCCTGGGGGTCTGTTTTTAATTATTTTAAGTGGAAATGATTTTGAAATACATGTCAACTTAAAATTTCCAAGCACATTAAAATGTAGCAAGCTGACATATTGGAATATTAAGTGCGTAAAACATTCCTTGACCACAACACAGTACCATTGTTACCACATACCTTGTGTGCAGTTTCAAATGCAGGTGCTTCGCTTAGCAGGTCCCCCTTGTGACTCTTAGAACATTTTCAAAGCTCTCCTTTGTGTGACAGTTGTAGTGTTTTGCAATATAATTTCAGACTTTTTGTCTTGCACATAGGTATAAAAGTTGTATTGCATTTTGTGGATATAAAGTAACATTTTCGTGTGTGTGTGTGTGTGTGTATGTGTGTGTGTATATATATATATATATATTCTGGAAAAGGTTGTATTAAGAGAAACTTGAAGTCAAGTGATGTCAGAAGATGGTGGAGTAGAGAGCACCAGGAATCCATGTCTTCATCTGATCACAATTGCATAGCAGAATCAGTCTCTTATAACTATTTTGGAATTCTGGAGTCTCTTTGAAGGCTTGTGTCTTCTGGGGAAAGGCTTGGCTGGTAAATCAGTAAATTTTGGTCAATTTTAGCCCTTGTACCTTAGTGTCTACCCATCCCCCACCCCCCAGCCCCATGTCAGTTAACTATGCCTGTATTCCTGATGCTGCTTTGGGAGTCAGAGTGGATGCTAAGGATCTTGTCCTTCAAATGTTAGGATTCTGTGATTTGATTGCCAATTACTGCTGCTTCTGATGGCAGAGGTGTAGACACAGAGGTGGACCTCCATTGTTGCAAACCCATCAGCTCAATTAGATTCAGGAAATTTAAAGGGCCAATGCCTGTGTTTTTTCCCCTTGCATTTTTCCTTTTTTATCCCATTTGGGAGCCAGACATTTAAGGATTAGGACTTTAAAAAGTAACTGCGTGTTCAGGGGAATTTAGAAAGTCAGCACACATGCCCAGGGAAAGACACGTACTCAGCAAAGAACTGAGAGGACTTTTTAAGTTTTTACCTCAGCCTGCACAGAGATACCCTATAACAACCAAAAACAAAAAAACCCAGCTGCCCTGGGGAAGAGGGAGAATCTGATCTCCAGAGTTACACATTATAAGATTCAAATGTCCAATTTTCAACAACAAAAAAATCACAGAGCAGACAAAGAAATAGGAAAGTGTGGCCCATTAAAGGAAAAAATAGAAAGTGTCCCTAAAGAAGGCCAGATGGTGGACTTACTAGACAAAAACTTTAAAACAAATGTCTTAAAGATGCTCCAAGAGCTAAAGGAAGATGTGAGAAAAGTCAGGAAAAGTATGAAGAAAATAGAAATATCAATAAAGAGAGAAAACAAAAAGTTACCAAAAAAATTCTGGAGCTGGAAAGTATAGGCAACAAAGGCAAAAAGAGACAAATGGGACTATATCAACCTTAGAATTTCTGCGCATCAAAAGAACAGAGTGAAGAGACAGCATACAGAATGGGAGAAAATATTTACAAATATATATACAGTAGTCCCCCCTTCAGGGGTACATTCCAAGACCCCCAGTGGATGCCTGAAACTGTAAATAGTACTGAATCCTATATATACTGTTTTTTCCTGTACATACATACCTATGATAAAATTTATAAATTAGGCACGGTAAGAGATTAACAACAGTAACTAATAATAAAATAGAATAATTATAACAATATACTGTAATAAAAGTTACCGTAGCTCTTAGCAACCTCAGCATACGATTTTTTTTCTTTCCTTGTTAAGTTGAGAACTTTCACCTTTTTACTTAAAGGAAGCACTTTATGGCTTCTCTTTGGTTATCTGAATTGCCAGCATCACTACTCTTGTGCTTTGGGGCCATTATTGAGTGAAATAAGGGTTACTTGAACACAAGCACTATGATACTGCTGACAGTCGATCTCATAACCAAGATAGCTACTAAGTGACTAACGGGCAGGTAGTGTCTATAGCGTGGATATGTGCACAAAGGGATGATACACATCCCAGGTGGGTTAGACTGGGAGGGCTCGAGATTTCATCACCCTATTCAGAATGGTGTGCAATTTAAAACTTATGAACTATTTCTGGAATTTTCCATTTAATGTTTTCAGACTGCGAATAACTGAAACTGCCGAAAGCAAAACTGCAAGTAAGGGGAGATTACTGTGTCTGGTATGAGATTAATATCTAGAATATATAAGAAACTCCTACTACTCAACTGCAAAATAAACAACCTGATTAAAAAATGGACAAAAGACTTGATAGTTCTCCAAAGAAGATATTCAGATGGCCAACAAGCATATGAAAAGATGCTGAACATGACTAATAAGAGAAGTGAAAATCAAAACCACAATGCCTTTAGGATGGCCACTATCAAAAGAACAGAAAATAAGTGTTGGTGAGGATGTGAAGTTGGAACCCTTGTGCGCTATTGGTGGGAATGTAAAATGATGCAGCCGCTATGGAAAACAGTATAGAAGTCCCTCAAAAAATTAAAAATAGAATTACTGTATGATTCAGCAATACTACTTCTAGGGATAGATCCAGAAGAATTCAAGGCGGCATCTTGAAGAGGTGTCTGCATTCTCATGTTCATTGTAGGATTGTTCAGAATAACCACGAGGTGGAAGCAATGTCTGTGGACGAATGAATGAATAAAGAAAATGTGGTAAATGTATACGTTGGAATATTTTGCAGCCTTAAAAAAAAATCCTGTTAACATGCTACAACGTGGTTGAACCTGGAGGACATTGTCTTAAGTGAAATAAGGCAGTCACATAAGGACAAATGCTATATGACTCCACTCTACAGAAATATATAAAGTAGTCAAAATCATAGAAACAGAAAGTTATAAAGTGGTTGCCAAGGGCTGGGGAGAATGAGGGAAAAAGTGTATAATAGTACAGAGTTTCAGTTTTACAAGATGAGTAAGTTCTAGATATCTGTTGCACGGCAATGTGAATATACTTAATACTACTTCATTGTACACTTAAAAATGGTTAAGGTGGTAAATTTAGTGTTGTGTTTTTTTACCACAAGTGAAAAAAAAAAACTTCCCAACAAAGAAAAGCCCTGGACCAGATGGCTTCACTGGTGAATTCTGCCAAACGTTTAAAGAACTGCTAACACCACTCTTCTCAAACTTTTCCCCCCAAAAATGAAGAGGAGGGTATGCTCCCTAACTTATTCTGTGACGCCAGCATTGCCCTGATGTCAAAGCCAGAGAAAGACACTACAAGAAAAGAAAACTACAGGCCAATACCCCTGATGAATATTGATGCAAAAATCCTCAACAAAATACTAGCAAACAATTCAGCATCATATTAAAAGGAGTATTCACCATGACAAAGATTCCTGGAAGGCAAGGATGTATCAGTCAATGTAATATCACATTTACAGAATAAAGGATGAAAACCGCATGATCATCTCAATTGATGCAGAAAAAACGTTTGACAAAATTCGACCTCCAATTATTATAGAAGGATTCAAACTAGGAGTAGAAGGAAACTACAACACAATAAAGGCGGCATATGAAAACCCCACAGCAAACATCATAGTCAAGGGCGAAGACTGAAAGCTGTTCCTCTAAGAGTAGGAACAAGGCAAACATGCCCACTCTTGCCACTTCTATGTAATATAGTACTGGAAGTCCTAGCCAGAGCAGTTAGACAAGAAAGGGAAATAAAAGACATATAAATTGATAAAAGGTATATAAATTGAGAGGGACAAAGTAAAATTATTTCTGGAGAACCCTAAATATTTAATACCAAAAAAAAAAAAAATAGAACTAATAAATGGACTCAGCGAAGTTGCAGGATACAAAATCAAGCTACAAAAATCACTTTCAATTACGTTTCTCTACACTAACAATGAAAAGTCCAAAAAGCAAATTAAGAAAATAATTCCATTTACAGTAGGGTCAAAAAGAAAATATTAGCAGTTAACCAAGGAGGTGAAAGACTTGTACATTGAAAATGACAAAACATTGCTGAAAGAAATTTAAAGATAAATAAATGGAAAGACATCCTGTGTTCAAGCATTGGAAGATTTAATATTGTTAAGATGTCAGTACTACCCAGAGTAGTCTACAGAGTCAGTGCAATCCATATTAAAATCTCAATGACATTTTTTGTAGAAATAAAATTTGTCCTAAAATTCACACGGAATCTTAAGGGACCCAAATAGCTAAAATAATCTTGGAAAAGAAAAACAAAACCAGAGGACTTAACACTTCCTGATTTCAAAACTTACTACAAAGCTACAGTAATCAAATGAGTGTGGTACTGGCTTAAAGACAGTTATATACACCAATGGAATAGAATAGAGAACCCAGATAAACTGTCCAATATGGTCAAATTATTTTCAAGAAGGATGCCAAGACAATTCAGTGGATAAAGGACATTTGGAGAAACAACGAGAAATGGTGTTGGGGAAACTGGGTATCCACGAAGAAAAGAATGAAGTTGGTCTCCTCCTATCTTACAGCATATATAAAAGTTAACTCAAAATTCATCAAAGGCCTAAACATAAGAGCTAAAACCATAAAACTCCTAGAAGAAAACAGACAAAAATCTTCAGGACATTGAATTTGTGGCAATGACACTAAAAGCCCAGAGAACAAAAGAAAATTTGAAGAACTAGAGTTTATCAAAATTTAAAAGTTTTGCACCAAAAGATATTGTCAAAAGAGTAAAAAGGCAGCCCACGGAAGGGGAGAAGATATTTGCAAATCACATATCTGATAAGGACTTCATACCCAGAATACATAACGAATTCCTGAAGTTCAACAACAAAAAACAAACAACCCAATTCAAAAATGGGCAAAGGACTTAAATATGACATTTCTCCAAAGAAGATATACAAATAGCCAATAAGTACATGAAAAGATGCTCAACATAACCTAGTCATTAGGGAGATGCAAATGAAAACCACAGTGAGATACCACCTCACACCCATTAATATGACAGTTATTTAGGAAAAAAAATTGTTGGTGAGGATGGAGAAATTGGAACTGTTGTTCACTGCTGATGGGAATGTAAAATGGTGCAGCCACTATGAAAGACAGTAAGACAGTTCCTCAAAAACTTAGAATTATCATATGATCTGGCAGGTCCACTTCTGAGTATATACACAAAAGGATTGAACACAGAAACTTGAACAGATATATATCTGTACTAGCATTATTCACAGTAGCCAAAAGGTGGAAACAAACAAATGTCCATTGACAGATGAATGGATACACAAAATGTTATATACATACAATGAACTATTATTTACCCTTAAAAAGAGTGAACTTTTGACACATGCTAAAGCATGAATGAACCTGGAAGAAATTATGCTAAGTGGAGAAAGCCAGACACAGAAGGACAACTATTGCATGATTCCACTTTAGGAGGTCCCTAGAATAGTCAAATTCATAGAGACAGAAAGTCAAACAATGGTTACCAGGGACTAGGGGAAGGAGGGATTGGGAAGTTACTGTTTATTGGGTACAGAATTTCACTTTGGGATGATGAAACAGTTCTGGGGATGGATAGTGGTGATGTTTGCACAAGATGACTGTTCTTAATGCTACTGAATGTATACTTAAAATGGTAGATTTTATGGTATGTATATTTTCCCACAATAACAAAAGATAACTCAGACTCCAAGAGGTGTTCTACTGGGAGAACATAAACCAGAGAAATGGTCTTCAGGGTATGGTTTAAGTTATGTTTAAGTTGTTGAATCAGTTAATAAGATTCTTTAATTTTTGTTCTTGTTGTTGATACCTTGGGAGAGGTCTGAGTGAGAGATTGGAACAGGTAGAGAAGGAAAGCAAAACTAAAGGTAATTTCAGATTTCTAGGAGGAGGCAGAGAAAGTTAAACAGAGGAACGCACTGTTGACAAGGAGTGCCCCCTAATGTGTAGGACGCCCCTTTCAAGGAGCAGTGAGAGTGCTGGACCTTCTCCATGTTGAGGCTGCAGTCACCATGGAGCCATGTACAGGACCTGGGACAGGAGCCAGTGTTACCCAAGCGGAGGGAGGCTCCTGGAGCATGAAGCCAACCCGGCAGGGCTGGGCTCAGGGAGGTGGTTGAGCCACAGGTAAGACCCTCGTTGCTTCCACCAGAGCTGCCAGGCCACATCCTGGTGGCCACTGTGTTCCTCTGTGAGGCTTGCAGTGCTCGGACCTGACTGCCAGTTCCTTCTACTGCGGGAAGTCTTTGAAAACGGCCCCCAGATGCAGTGCCTCTGATCACTTGCTCTTTACCTTCATTCCTTTACCTCTCTGTTCCCTCTCCCTGATTTCCAGTGTTCTTTCTAGAACTGTTGTTCCCCATGTACTGCACCTTCAGAGTGATAGCTGTTTCAACATGCCTTTTAGTGTCTTTCCTGGATATAAAGCTTACAGTTCCAATGTTACAGGTTTTCTATTTCCTCTAGACTCAGTGTTATTCATCATATTTTCTCTAAAAGAGTCCGTTTTACAGTGCTCTTCCGATCCGCTAGCTTAGAGCTATGTGTACTCATAGTTTAAAACACATTGTGTGTTTATGTGTCTTTTTCCTGAACCACTGAGTTAATTAGTTGCAAGCACAGTGCCCCTTTATCCCTAAATACTTCAGTGTGTATTTCCTAAAACTAGATGCATTTTCTTCCATAACCAGACAATAATTAGTGGAATCAGGAAATTAACGTTGATCCAGTACAATTGTCTAATCTGTAGCAGTTATTCTGATTTTATGGATTATCCAGTGATGTCCCTTAGAGCAAAAGAAACAGTTAATGATGCGTTGCATCAGTTGTGATGCTTGGTCTCCTGTCTGTAACTTTCTTCAGTTTTTCTTTGCTTTTTATGATATTGACAGTTTGAAAGGTACAAGCCAGCTATTTTATAGCTGCTCCTCAATTTGAATTTGTCTAATTTTCCCTTACTATAAGATTTAAGTTGTGCATTTTTGGGGCATGGGGAGTGGAAGACCACAGAGGTGCTGTGCTATATTTATATTCTTTTATTTATATTTATATTGTGTTATATTTATCTTCATATATTTTATAGCTACATAAAGTGGTATAGATACATATTATAGACATATACACAGATGTAGTTTAATATTTTTCTGTTTTTTATCCTCTTAGGATTTTTGTCTTTTATAATTGAGGTTCTGGGGGCCGGCTGGTGGCGCAAGTGGTTAAGTGCACATGCTCCACTGCGGTGGCCTGGGGTTCGCCGGTTCGGATCCTGGGCGTGCACCAACACACTGCTTGTCGAGCCATGCTGTGGCGGCGTCCCATATAAAGTAGAGGAAGATGGGCACGGATGTTAGCCCAGGGCCAATCTTTCTCAGCAAAAAAAAAAAGGAGGATTGGCATCAGATGTTAGCTCAGGGCTGATCTTCCTCACACAAAAAAATAATAATAATAAAATAAAATATAATTGAGGTTCTGAAATTTTGTTGTAAATTTGTTCAGGTGTTTTTCTCCTCCTGCTGGATACCAGGTGGCTCTTCCAATTTCAGAATGTCTTTATTGTTGGAAAAGTACCAGCTATATTTTACAAAGATGCCTCTCCTTCATTCTTTTGGTTTTCTCTGAGAATTTCTTTCATTTGTAAGAATCCTGATGTATTTAATTTTATTTGTGCCATCTGTTCTGTCATTTCTAAGGTTTAGTGTGAGAGGAAGCCATTCACAACCATAAAATCCATTTTTTAAAAAATTTTTTTTTCTTTTATGTATATTTTTCCCCCAAAGCCCCAGTAGATAGTTGTATGTCATAGTTGCACAGCCTTCTAGTTGCTGTATGTGGGACGCGGCCTCAACATGGCCGGAGAAGTGGTGTGTCGGTGTGCACCCGGGATCCAAACCCGGGCCGCCAGTAGTGGAGCGCGAGCACTTAACCGCTAAGCCACAGGGCCGGCCCAAAATCCATTTTTTTATATGCCATTATGTTTCTCTAATTTGTTTCCATTTGTGGTCATGTCACTAAGTAAAATGATCCAAAGTCAAGCGTGTTTCTACCAATGTGAAATAGCTTTTTGCACAGTGCTGGAAGCTAAAATGTACTAGCTGTGATCTTTGAAACTGTAAACGTTATTAATGTCCCTTTGAAGAAGAGCTTTTCCCCACGAGGATGAAAAACATGTTAAATTGGTGCTTCTCAGCAAATGTGTTGGGAGGCTGTTGGTATAAAAACTAAGGTTTGGGATCAGCGTGGAAAGATCAGAAATGAGGGGCTAGTAAACACTTCTGGGTTCTTCTGGTGAATTCCAGCAGGATAAAGCTTTTGTGTCCAGACACTACAATAGGACAAGGAAAAGAACAGAGGAGATCCTGGAATTCCAATGCCAGAATTCATCTGCTCTACCCCGTCAATGCCATCTTGAAACTCTACCCTGTGAATTCATTTCATGAATGATGACCCCAAGACTCAAGACCAGGGAATCCTCAAAGGAGTAAGCAGTTTCCACCTGATTTTTATTTATTTTCAAGAAAATGATCTAAAACATTTACAAATGGCAAAGAATATAACAAACATTTAATAAAAGTGGTTTCCTTATTAGTCACGATTTACTCAGAAAAATCAGTGAATTACAATAGCTCTTTTTCAAGATTCCTTATTCAAGTTTTTGCATTTTAACACATTTTCGATAATGAAGATTATGAATATAGATCTTGTGAAATGGACAGTAAACAGGTTAATATTTAATTATGATAATATTTTAATAAAAAGATTCAGCTCTTTATCTTTAAGGAAATTACATAGTTTTATTTTTAAAATTATTTTGTTTGTATACTAACAAGCATATATTTCTTGTTGTAAGTCACTATTTTCATGAGATTTATTTACTCAATTAATACTAAGAAACATTTAATTTTTTTTTCACATATGTCATCATCATGCAACATATCCCTCTAAACGACGAAATTCTCCAAGGACAAATGATCCAAGGACCCAGTAGAGAGTCAGAGCTGTGGTACCCGTGTGAGCTCATGTCGGCACCTAGCTGTTGAGGAATAGTGAAGCTACCAGAGGGAAAGTTTTAGGAGAAAAATGACATTTTCTATAGAAAGCAGCTGAAACATTTTAAGACATCGAGGAAAACAAGGGAGCGCTTGACTAAAATTGTGAAGGAGATTCTTAAGCTAAATCTAAGTGATTAAAGAAATTTCACCATTAAATTTCCGTAGTGCACCCTCATCAGCATGTGTGCCGTTTTATTTTGAAATAGGAGCTGAGACCATGGGGTTAGGTGACCCTTTACTTTGGACAGTCCCTTCCCACAGCTTCTCACTGTTGTGGATTTTGTCAGGCTCCACAAATGAGGAGACATCCTGTAAATGACCCCACCACTTGAACAGAAAGCCCTCTGTGATGGTCTTAAGCCACGGAGTGACCTTCTCCTGTCCCCGGGCCACCCTGTCCAGGAGATCCCCCATCTCCTGCTGGGTCACTTAGCGGTAACCTTTGACCTCCCTGGCGTCTGGGTTCACCATGAGGTTTTTCCTCACAAACAGAAGGTAGCCAACTTCATGGTCTCCCCAGACATCATTCGATGGACTCCTGTGGTAAATTCAGGTCATAAAAATTATATCCTTTATGGAAATCTGTGACAAAAGTTGGTCTGTGTTAATTCAAACACAAGGAAAATACCTTGGAGAGAAAGTTCAAATTTATTCTTTTGTTCATTCAGAAAATATATACAGTGCATCCACTGAGTGCCACTCATTTTTCACTGGAGAGACCAAATTAAAGAAATCACAGTATATGGCCTTGAAAATTTCATTTTGTTTTGTACCCAATGGAATAATTATGTGGACACAATTGAAATATGCAAAGTGCTACAAGTTAATTGATGGGCAGATTTCTCTGGGGCACATACACCCTGATTTCATAAACAAAAATCATATTTTATGTATAAATACTGTGTAGAGATTTTTTTGTTCACAGATTCTCTGTGAATTGGACTTTCAGCGGTTTCACAAGAAGGCTCTACCTTTGATTGTTATCTAACTCAGCATCACTTAATAAGTAACAACAAATCTTCATATTCTTAACTTTCACCTATCTTCATGTTGTAAAAACAAAGAATGTATCATTGAAATCCACACACAATTTAAAAGCCTCATTTCAGCCCAAAGGTTTTCTTCCCTACAGTTTTGACTGGAGCTGAGAATTTGAGTAGCTAACACCTTTTTATAAAAAGATCTAGAAGACAAGATGCAGGGGTGGGTACCTGCTCTGGGGGATTCCCAGCTCAGCCTGCAGGTGTCTCATGGCCGCCCTCCTCACTCCCAAGGGGTCTTTTTCTTCCAGTTCTGTGGGATTGCTCAGGGGGTGACTAGAGCAGGAGTCAGTGAAATACGCTGGAAAGAATGGATAAAGTGCCAGCTTTATTGGGAATTTCTGTTAACTGAATGGGGTAATTTCTTTCCTATTCATCATTTAGTGAGTAAAATAGATTTAATTCTGAATTATCACTTTATCATCAATTCAACTTTTCAAATCTTGGTCGAATATTATTCACATGAAACTCTCAATTCCTTTGAACTACAAAATCTTCTCACTGCCCCCAAATTTGCATTTCTAAGACAAATGGGTCTCCCCACTTCCCTGACAAAATTCCATTTTGTCAAATGCTGGTAACTTAACGTTTCACTGTCTGTTGGAGTGGGACTGAGGTGTCCCGAGAGACTTTTGCCGGGTTTGCTGACTCGTCAGCCCTCTGTGTGGCCCCCACAGGACAGGTCAGGAGTCGGCAGCCCCTTAGGGTTCATCTGAGCAGTCTCACCGGGAAACATGCACTTGGTGTCGGATCTCTGCTGTATCAGGAGCTGGTCTTGCGTGTTCAACAGGACGACGCTGAAGGCGCGGTGTAAGAGCCCTGCAGAATGGGTGTGCGCTGGTTAAAACTCAGCTGCTGTGCACGTGGAGTCTATGACTGGTCCCCTTCTGCCCCGTCTCCTTCTCTCACCCAGCTCAGGACTTGAACAGCAGCAGCAGCTCACCTTGGCTGAGCTCGTATTACACGCCAGGTGCTCTATGCTTTATCTGTTCATCACCTAGTACTCATGGCCACACTTTGAGGGTGGCACTATTATTTCCCCACTTTATAAATAAGAAAACTGGAGGGTAAAGAAGTGAGTCAACCAAACCAGGAAAGCAGGTCTAGGATTTGGACGTTGCTGACCAAGTGTAAACCCAGCTTCTGACCCACAGCTATTACTACAGAGGGCTGACCGGGGGGCAGAAGGAGAACCTGGTGGGTCCAAGTGACCTCTCAGGCTCTGGACCAAAGACAAGAACAATGCCCTTTAGGATAAAGATGTAACTTCCCCAACATTGGCGCTTCCTTAAGGATAAGCATCTCTCCCTAGGCTAGGAATTGATTGCTTGCCTGCTGCGTTTACCTTGTGACCACCCAGCTCAAGACCACAGAACTACGACCTGCTATGTTCAATTGCTGTGTGAAATGCTGTGTGTGCAAGGCAATATCGTGACTATTGGAAAAGGGACATTCCAATCATATGTGATACATGCTCTTTGACGGTACATAAGCAACTCTGTCAAACTCCACTTCTTTGGAGTGCTCCATTCCTTTGTGAAGGGACTCTCCCAGGCTATATATTCCTCAGATCTGGCTCATAATAAACTCACCGCAATTTTGATTTATAGATTGGTTATGGATTATTGGCGTCGACAGAATCATCTCTGTAGAAATGAAGCATGAAGATTAAACTCACCGTGAGGATTCAATAATCATTATTACTGTCTGGGTCTCCTTTTGTTTTGTTCCCTTTAGGTTAAGCTTGCCTTGTTCCAAAAATGACTTTAGGAAATACGTGGGAATTATAGAATCAAAGATTCCAAAGTCCCCCAATATACTCACCCCTTCCAGAAGGCATTAGTCTGAAGGAAACTTGGAGACAAGCAGAGGTGGGTTGGAGATGATTATAGAAGTGATAGAAAAGGCACAAAATGCCACCCACAAAGTGAGGGTAAGAGCACAAACAGAAACATGCACTGACCTCTGAAGATGAGTCGCTGTACACCCACGTCCTCTTGAGACCTGGAGGGTCACCCACACATATAAGCTCCCTATATATGCGGCTGCACGTGTGCGTGGGCACACACACACACACCTGTGTTCTTTTTGAGTGAAGATTTTTCCAAATATTGAAATATTGCCTGGTTAAGAAAACCACATAGAACCTTACCTTAATCCACCAAGGAGAGTGGTAAAATGTACGGTTGCCTCACGGCTTAACATAAAATCAAATATAGAAATGACTAGCTTGGATTTTAATGCTGGACAACATTTAATATTCCAGTAAGTTGATCTTCCATTAAATCTCCAAGGCCCATGTCGTGTAGTACAGAATGTCAAAGAAGAGGAAAGTCTTAGATTGCATTAAAAAACCATGCTGTTCAAAAGAGACACACTTAACAACAACACAGAAAGATTGAACATAAGCAAAGCAGGTAAGAGAAAAAGATATGCCTGTAGTATGCTAACAAAAAGCAAGTGTAAGATGAATATCAGACAAGATAAAAGTAAAAACATTAAATTTGATAGCATGTAATAAAGTTCCATTAAATAGGAATTCAATGCAAATTTTAAAAAATAGATGATATAGCAGTTTGAATCCTTCAGTTATATGTTATCTCGATGGGAAAAATAGAGAAATCCACAATTATGGTGGAATGCTGTATCATCTCAAAAATAATAACTAGATAAAATAGAAAAAGCTCACAATAATTTAAAATACAATGAACACAATTAACAATTATCCCTGCATAACAAACTCTTGGAAATTTTTTAAAGAAAATTTCAGTAAGTTCTGAAAACAGTCACCATTTCAGTTAGTCACACATTCCACCATCACGCAACAGCATTAGAGATTCAATAGCAAAAAAGAAACACACATTCTCTCAGTATCTATAGGTCAAAGATATAAAAATGGAAGGATGATCAGAACCACATAGCAAAACTTGTGGACATGACCCAACAGCAATGAAAAAACTGGGACCTTACACGCATTTACTGCTGAACACGTGAAGTGATGTGGAGCTGAACATACATGAGAAACTATTTACAATATAAGAAAACTTCATAATTTCATAATTATAGTAAAAGATTTACTTCACTTCTTTCAGAGATGTACAAATCAAGAGGATAAAAAAATAAAATACTGAGAATTTGAATAACAACATTGGACCAAATATATACTTTCATATAATAAAGAGAAGACATATATTATCATAGAAATCCAAGAAAAATTGACAAATTCAGCTCGGTTTGGGTCACAAAGAAATGATGGCTGACAACACAATAGCAAAAAAACAAACAATCTGATTTAAAAATGGGAAGAGGATCCAAATAGGCATTTTTCCAAAGACAACATACAAATGGCCAACAGGTACACGAAAAGATGCTCAACATCACCAATCTGGGAAATGCCAATTGAAAACACAATGAGACATCACCTCACATGTGTTAGAATGGGTATTGTCAGAAAGAACAGAAATAACGTGTTGGCGAGGATGTGGAGAACAGGGAACCCTTGTCCATTGCGGGAATGTATATTGGTGCAGCCACTATGGAAAACAGTACGGAGATTCCTCAGAAAATTAAAAATGGAACTACCATATGATCCGACAATCCTACTTCTGGGTATATATCCAAAGAACATGAAAACAATATTTCGAAGAGATATCTGTACTCCCATGTTCATTGCAGCATTATTCACAACAGGCAGATATAGAAACAACATAAGTGTCCATCAGCAGATGAGTGGGTAAAGAAAATGTGTTACGTATGAAATGGAATATTATTCAGACATAGAAAAGAAGGAAATCCTGCCATTTGCAACATGGATGGACCTTGAGGACATTATGCTCAGTGAAATAAGCCAGACAGAGAAAGACAAATACTGTATGGTCTCACTTATATGTGGAATGTGAAAAACTGCACTCATAGATACAGAGAACAGAGTGGTGGTTGTCAGAGGTGAGGGGTGGGGGGTAGGCGCAATAGGTGAAGGAGGTCAAAAGGTACGAGCTTCCAGTTATGAAATAGACAATAATAATTATAGATAATAATTCGTACATCCTGTACAAATGTAACGTACATGATGATGACCACAGTTTTTTGTGTGCGTGTGTGAGGAAGATCAGCCCTGTGCTAACATCTGCCAATCCTCCTCCTTTTTTGCTGAGGAAGACTGGCCGTGGGCTAACATCCATGCCCATCTTCCTCCACTTTATATGGGATGCCGCCACAGCATGGCTTGACAAATGGTGAGTTGGTGCGTGCCTGGGATCCGAACCGGTGAACCCTGGGCCGCTGCAGCGGAGCCCGCGCAATTAACCGCTTGCGCCACCGGGCCGGCCCCTGATGACTGCAGTTAATAATACTGTATTGTGTATTTGAAAGTTTCTAAGAGAATAAATCTTAAAAGTTCTCATCACAAGAAAAAAATATGTAACAATATGGGGTGAGGGATGTTGACTTATTGTGGTGATCTTTTCACAATATGTACATATATCAAATCATTATCTTGTATACCTTAAACTAATACAATGTTATATGCCAATTATATCTTAATAAAACTGGAAAAAAAATGCCAGTCAGGGAGAAGAGGGTCCCTCCCCACCTCTCCTGGAACCCTGTGCTAAGACCCCCGACTTCACCTCGGGGCTAGGGTGAGTGGTCGGGTTGGGTGCAGGTGAGCTCCTTAGGGCTGACCTGGCACCCTAAGGAGAAGCCGGAGCCCGGAGGACAGCCAGGTGTGCAGGGAGCGAGCAGGTGGCTCCGCTCACCTGAGCAGCACCTGATGGGATTCTTCAAGGGTGCTGGGGGAATCTGGCTGTGCTCTGACCACGGGGACTCGTCTTCCAGCCCCTCCCACTGAGGCCACTTCACCTCTCCAGGGCATCCAGTGGGAGGTTCTGAGGGGGCCACAACTGCACACTCTTGTCGTGCCCCAGGGAACACTGAGGAAATCTCTCCAGAGGGCTTAAACACCCTCCCACTAGATCTGAGCTGAAGGGGTCCCCCAAGTCCCCCAGAGTCCAGCTGGACCCAGGGCACACTGAAGATGGGTCTCCTCTTCATCTCCAACCTCCTGGGGACTTTTCACTCTATCTATCTGGGTAAGGCAGATGCCTAACTGGGCAAATCCGGTGTTTCCACGCCGTGGGGAAGTCAGCCTAGCTCCTTCCTCTGAATGTGGAGGGGCTTCTCTATTGCCTTAGGGCTTCAGCCAAACTGGGGCAAAGCTGCATTTGACAGCCTGTTACTTTGTGTAATCAGAGATCAACGCAATCACAGTCCCTGCTGGTTGATTCTTCTCAATTTCAAACTTGTCTTTTTGTTTAGTTTCTGTTGCCTCTGACCAAAAAACAACAAAAGAAGTGCATCTCCTCCAAAAAAGAAAAAGTCATTTCTTCCCTACGGTTTTGGCCCTCCCTCTTACTAATCCAGACTGAACCGGAAGATGAGTAAAGATATTTCATAATCTCTCCCTTCCAGAACATTTCAGAGCACAGTGCTGTTCAGACCCTTCTGTCCTGAATTGCAGTGCTTGGTGTGAGCAGAAGACAGAGTGACGCGCTCTCAAGTGTGTGGCCCGGCCTGAGTGGTGTGCAGATTCCAGCAGCTGAGTGGCTGTGTTTAGGAATCGAGAAGTGGACCACGGTGAGCCCGTCTGCAGAGGAACGAGCACTAAAGGTTTCCCTCCGTAGTCTCACTGTCCCAGACCTTTGGGTCACACTCACCTTTCCAAAACGAAGAAGAGCCTTGCTTCTCAGAAGGAACCCATTCCCACAATCTCATCAGACCCTCCCTCCACCCAAGCAGCTCCTCGCTTATTCTAGTCACACAGGTCACAGCGACCCATTTCTTGGAATCCTAACCCCAACCCTCTCTCCAAAGCCTTAATCAACACTTCACCCTAATCATCCCCAAGCAGAACTAACCTTGAGCAGAATCAACAACCGAGACCCAGAAAACACCTTGTAATCTTACCCACCCCTCCCATGCCCTGCAAAACAACTAGCTCCAAGGAAAAGAGCTGAAAGGGAGACTTTGCTCCCCGCTCCTCACGTGGCTTTGGGATGGCCACTTCTGGCCCCAGCTGCAGTGTCCTCATTCTTGTTTCCTATTTATTCAGACAGAAACAGCAGTCTACATCCCTCATTACTTCTAAATAAGTACTCAAGGACTGCCATATAGAGGAGGAGACATTTGAGAGAAGACTTGAAGAGGTGAGAGCAGAGCAAGCCAGAGGGATATCTGTGGTCTCTTCACATATTGCTTCTCCCCAGTTTCCTCCCGTGTCTTCTTCTTGTCTTTCTCTTAGATGTATGTTGGACCATCTCACTTCATTCTTTTATCTATCTCCTATAATATTTTCTTTATCTTTGTTTGCCTGTAATGAATTTGGGGTTTTTTATTCATATGTATCTTCCAGTTCACTAATTTCTCTTCTGCTATGTTCAAATTGGTGCTTAATCAATTCTATCTATATGGGTATAAAAGTTTTTAAAGTTCTCTGTATTAGTTTCTTAGAGCTGCCATAATGAATTACCATAAACTTGGTGGCAGGGAAGAATAGAAATTTAATCCCTCACTGTTCTGGAGTCTAGAAGTCCAAAATCCAGACGTCAACAGGGTTGGTTGATTCTGGAGGCTCTAAGGGAGAATCCATTCCAGGCCTGGCTCCCAGCGTCTGGTGCTGCTGACAATCCTTGGCTTGCAGCTGCTCACTGCAATCTCTGCCTCTGTTATCACAGAGCCTTCTTCCCTCTGTGTGTCTTCACACCTTCTTATAAGGACACCAGTCATTTCACTAGGTTAGGGCCCACCCTAACCCATTATGACCTAATTTTAACTTACTAAATGAGTAAAAACCTTATTTCCAAATAAGGTAACATTCTGAGGTTCTGGGTAGACATGAATTTGGGGAGGACAACCTTCAACTCAGTACATCCTCTTCATTTCTTTTTCAAATCTGCTTGGTCTCTTTTTTTATAAGGTCTTAACTTTTTCTCATGTTTCTGATCATTTTATAAGTTTCATTTTTTTAATTAGTTGTAGAGTCTTTTTCAGAAATTCATATATTAGGAAATTCTTGTTAGTTTTATCTGCACCTGTCTCATGGTAGTTGGCATCCTCCTGAATTTTGTAGCTTGGAATTGTGAGGCCATTATTATTATTACTGTTGTGCTTTATTTATCAGAATTCTATGCAATCTTTATTAAAGATGGAGATTTTGTGTTTATTTCTGCCAAGTACCCATCACCTTTTTTCATTTTTGTTTTTTGGTTAATTTCTTGAATTGGGGTTTTCTGAACCATGATGGAGTGTAAATTTGAGTTCCACACACACGTGAAGATGTGAGACATCTGGAGACAAAGGTTCAGATGTCTTTTTTAACTTCCCACCAATTTCACTTCATTTTCCCTTGCCATTGTCAGATGTTTTACTCTTTTTCCTAGTTCACCTTCTCAGGGAAGGAGCAGCCTTGTTTTGGACCCTGTATTTGGGCAAGAATCTCAGTTCCAACATCCTCTTCAGCTCTCCTCTCTCTAAGAATTCATGATCCTCAAATCCTAGCCCCTTTGTTAATGGGACTCCAACATGAAGTCCCGCATTTCAGATGGAGCTTGTCGTCTTCATTTTCAAGTTTGCCTTTTTGGAGGCCTGTCTTACTTTCTTGTATGTTCTCTTGTATGTTCTGTATTTAAAAATATCTGGTTGCTGTTATTATTAATAGTTTTTTCCTTATCATGTCTAGTTGTCCCGTAGCGGGATGGGTCTTCAAGTTCACCTACTCACTCTTTCTTTTATGATTGTTCGTGGCATCTTATTTTCGTGAGTGGCACTTAGAGAAAGGGGTCTGCTTCACATTAATGAGCAGTCAGATGGGAGATGATCAAAGAAAGGGGAAAATTCCATAGAGGATAAGACCTGCCAACCCCAGTAATGGTTTTTGCCCTCTGCATTTTGTGGACAAGGCAAGACCTCAGTGTTGGCCTTCCCTCCTCCAAGGGCCTGATGGTGGCTGAGAAGAAAGAAGACCAAGCAGAAGGAGGAGGCAGAAGAGACAGCTGCTCCAGAAGGCAATTCCATAACAAGTACCAAGTGATAACTTCACAAAATTGTGACAATTTAACAACCTGTACAAGTTTATGCACTGGTCCTTCAAGTCTTGAGGTCATTTGAGCCGACAGAATACTCTGGGGTTTCTTTATAATCTGACAATTCAAGAGGAAGAGATAAACACTGTTGAGACATGTCTGCAGAGTTCTAACAGTTGGAACATTCTTTCTCAAGAATGTTTCCGTTGTGTACCAGTACTATGGGAACTTGAACATATGAGGGCATGCCTGGGTTCCTAAATTCATAAACATTGAGTGAGCCCACTAGTCAAATTAAAACACTGGGCAGGAGAGGTTGAGGCTCATGTTTTCAGCACTGGAAAGATCATATCGCCAGTCCTGACCTAGACAGGAAACGGGCAGAGGAGAAAGCTGGTCTGGGGACACTTGTGGGATATTGGTGGGAAGTACGACTCTGAAGGTGTCTCTGCTGATATACTACAGAAAGTTTATTTGTGGGAATCACATTTGAGGGAAGTAATATCAAGTTAATAGGAAAGGAGGGGGTCGATAAAAAAAAGAATGAAATGACAAGGCACCAATAAGACACTGATAAAATCTCAATAGCTAAAATTGCCTTTCAAAATGTGGCTTAATAAAGTAACCTTCATCCTGATACAAACAGTCCCTCATGGCAACTGTCAACATCAGGGTGAGAAGGTACCAGCCATGAGGCAGAAAGCACGGTGGTTCCTGCACCTAGAGTGGGCAACACCATGAGCAAAAAGACTGAGCGGAGGAAGAAATGGCATCCAAGAGTTGGGATGGCCGGAGAACGTGAACCATGCCAAGCCCTCACCAGCCAACCATGTTTGAGGGGCTTTGCTGGGCTTTTCTGGTTGGAACCTACACCTGTCTCAGGTTTCCTCCAGGCTGCTGTGCTCTGAGAAACTCTGAGTACAGAGGATTGTGCTACAACGTGGGTTCTCAAGGGCAACACCCACACCCGTCTTTGGGTTCTGAATTTGATAGAAAGGTAGAATCAGTCTGACACTCCAGTTTCAACCCCCTTACAGACAAAGAGGACCCAGGCTGTCTGGTTTGGAAGGAAAGCGATGTGGTTTAAGATATAGAAGATGGACGTAGGAGATATATGCAGAGAAGGCAATTTAAAGCAAATCTGAAGTGACAATTTGCATCTCCTATGGAATTATGTGAGTGGAATGGGAGCTGGAAGAGAAGTCGCTGGAGTCGGAACAGAAGTGTCTACGTTCAGAAATGTATGGATAAGGCAGTTTCCCCAATGTGTTCTCTGAAGAAATGATGCCAAGACAACCTTGAAACTCCTGATGCCAGAGGGTTCTGGCGGCCACCTCAGTCTGGGAACCCATAAATACACGAATCTGTAACCCAGTCTGGCAGCTGCACAGTGAACACCGCCGTAATAAGAACGCTTAAGTCTCCAGGCAAAATACCCAGCTGGGCTTTGTTGATTTAACCTCATGTTTCCCAGACTTACTCGGCCACAAGTGCCATTTCTCACCCAACCTATCACCTCCTGTGACTGACCGCTCTTGTTGTTCACATATGTAAAGGTATTGGTGTTGGAGAGCTGACCTAGAGGTGGAGGGACAAGTTTGAGGGAGAACGGGTAAACTTGGGGGTAGAAGACTGTGGAGGCCTGGGTCAGGCAGGGCATGCCACTGAGTGTGGGAATAGGTTCAAAGACATACCATTGCTTTCCAAGTGCAGGGACGAATTTAATAAAATGTGAAGAAACACAGTTTTTTCAAGAGTGGTACTCCAGCCTCCATAAGCAAAACAAAACAATTAATTACAGACAGGCCTTCTGGTGGCAATAAGAGGTATTTTTTGAGTAACTGAAGACATTAAGTTACTCTAAGGGAAACTACTTTTGAAAAAATTATACTTGTTTGAATGAACCTTCATTCATTCATTCAATTGATGCATATCGACTGTGTGACTACTCTGTACTAGGTAGAAACACTTACGTCACAGTAAGAACAGGGAGCTCCTGGTAGAATTAATCCAGTTCTTGTAGCGCAGGACAGGAAAAGTAAGCATAATTCAGGTTCCTTAAGCTCTTGTCAAATTGTGGTGTTTGACCAATAGACTCTGCTGGGCTGGACCTAGTTGTGTTTACTTCAGTTAAAGTCTCAGGACTCCAAGAGGACAGGAGGCCCATTTTAGGGTCAGTCCAAGGGTGGTTTAGCCAGCCTTGGTGGCCTGCGCTCTCGCCACCGTGGCCCAGGTTAATTTCCCAGTCAGGGACCCACACCACCGTCTGATGGTTGTCATACTGTGGAGGCTACGTGTTGCTGTGATGCTGAAAGCTACGCCACCAGTATTTCCAGCAACAGTGGGGTCACCCATGGTGGACAGGGCTCAGTGGAGCTTCCAGACTCAGACAGACTAGAAAGAAGGACCTGGCCACCCACTGCCAAAAAGTTTGGCCATGAAAACCCTATGAATAGCAGCAGAGCATTTTCTGATACAGTGCCAGAAGGTGGAGGATGGTGAAAAAACCCCAGGCAGGGTTCCGTCTGCTGTCCACAGGGCTGTTAGGAGTCGGAATCTACTCGACAGCACTAACAACCACCCATGGTGGTTATGCAACATTTAGGGACAAAAACATTTACTGCAGTTCTCTACTTGGGAGATTTTCTTTTCTTCTTTTTTCCTCTATTTTAAAAATAAATTTTAAAAAGTTTTAGAATACTTTTAGATTTATAGAATATTTGAGAAGATACAACAGAGGATTCCCGTATATCCCACACCCAATTCCCCCATTATTAACATCTTACATTAGTGTGCTAATTTGTCGCAACTCGTTAGCCAGTATCCATACATCATTAACTAAAGTCCAATTTATTCATATTCTCTTAGTTTTTACCTAACGTTCTTCTTCCACCCCAGGATCCCACACGACATCAGGGGGTCAGGTCTCAGTTCCTCGAGGCTGTGGCAGGTTCTCACTTCCCCTGTTTCTGATGACCTTGAGAGTTTCCAGGAGGTCTGGTGAGGTGTTTTGTAGGATGCCCCTCAGTTGGGATTTGTCTGATGTTTTCTGATGGTTTGACTGGGGTTATGGGGGGAGGAAGACCACAGAGGTGAAGCCCCTCTCGTCACACCTAGTGGAGGGTCCATGCTCTCCATGTGACTCATCACTGGCAATGTTGACCTTCGGCTCCTGGCTGAGACATTTTAATAAGGCTTCTCCACTGTAAACGCTACTCTTATTTCCCCTGTTTTTAATCAGATCTGGGACATCAGCTTCTGGGGTGGGCTGGCACAGAGGTGGTTTTTCCCCACCCAGGCAACTTCTTCCAAGTGGAAAGATATTCTAACACTTTACTCCATTTGGGGCTGAAAGGACTGGGGATTTCTAATCATCATGCTGTTACTTCCTTTGCAATGGGGTCAATGCAGACTTTCCCCTGTCTGAGGCATAAATATTAAACAGCACTTTGTGAAATGTTGGGACATTCTCTCAGGAATTTTGGCAAAATTGCATTTTCTCTTTTCTGTAAGCATGTGAGCTCGTCTTTCTGGAGATTGCACACATGGATCTTGGGGACAGTGATATGAGGTACTTGGGAAAAACAGGTATTCTGTATTTCTCATGAGAGGGGGAAAAACACGTGTTACAGCATCTGATGAGCTGTAAGAGAATTTGACCAAAGGGCATCTCAAAACATCAAGTAAAGGGGGAAGTGGAAGAGAAGGAAGGGCTCTGTACAGAAAGCATGGCTCACTCCAGTAATCCAAATGGTTTCCTCTGGCTGAAATTGAGAGTCAGAGATGAGGTTGAAAAGATAGAATAGGCTGGCTAGGAAATTTTGTTTTATCTTGAGGATTTGGGGGTTGGAGAGCACCGAAGGATTTTTAGATGAGAAAGTGAAGGTGAAATGATCAAATTTGTATTTAAAGAGATCCCTTTTCTGGGGGGGAGGGTAAATAGGAGGGGCCAGGGCAGGAGGCAGGAGACCAGCAGATCTGTTGAAGCCGCCAAGCAAAAGAAGGCAGTGACCTGAACCTCAGAGGTGGAGGCGAGCGGGGCGCAGGGGAAGGCTCTGGGGCTGTTTCAGGAAGTAGAATCAGAACGTCTGGTGATTGGGGTCAGAAGTCAGGGCTAAGGAGAGCAGCGTGTCGGGGAGGCCCCCTTCAGGTTGAGCGCTGGCGTGGACGGTGTGGGTGTTTGCTGGGGAAACACGCGGGAGCGGGAGCTCGAGGGAAGGTGCTGGTTTGGGAAGTGTCGGGTGGGAAGTGCCCGCGGGGGTGTTGAGGGGAGACAGAGGCGGATCCGGAGTCCTCCGACCTCAGTCCTCAGGTCCTGGAGGTGGTCACGTCGCCCCCGCGGAGTGGGCAGAATGAGAAGAGGAGGCTCCGGGCGGCCCCGCGCGGGACGAGAAGCGGTCCTGGAGGGCCGGGGCGACCACAGGGACACGCTCCTCGGTGGGCCGCCACGCTGACCGCGGCAGGGGACGCCCCCCGCCGCCTGGGTCTCAGAGACGTGGAGGCCGAGGCCC